GCGGCTCGTGCGCCGTGAGCGCCAACGGCGCGTCGTACAACATGCTGCAGTTCCACATGCACGTGCCGTCGGAGCACACGTTGAACGGCGAGCACCTGGGCGGCGAGGTGCACTTCGTGCACAGCAACGCGGACGGCTCTGCGCTGCTGGTGACGGGCGTGTTCTTCAAGGCCGTGCAGGGCGCGAGCGACCCGTGGGTGGTCTCCGTGCTGGACGCGCTGGACAAGACGAGCTCGAACGCGACAGCGTCGGCAAGTCTGACGTCGTACGCCGACCTGGTGAACAAGGCCGCGGACGCGCAGGGCGTGTTCAACTACGCCGGCAGCCTGACGACGCCCGCGTGCAGCGAGATCGTGGACTGGTGGGTGGTGAAGAAACCCGTGGACGTGTCGACGGCCGACCTGGAGCGTCTGCAGTCTCAGTTGCGCGAGCTGCACATCACGGACGACGGCAAGAACGCGCGTCCGGTGCAGCCGCTGAACGGCCGTGTCGTGACGGCGTTGCTGTAGAGTTGTAGCACGTTCGTGTTTGACAATTAAATATAAATGCTGATACACTCCACGACAAAAAGATATGGACACCACCAAAAGTGGCTGTAACTTCGTCAATTTTTATCGTTTTAAGGTGCGGTTTGGACTAGAGTTGCAAAACACGCTGATAAAGATCTGCACGTTGCTAACACGCGCGCTTTTGCGCTTCTTCAGGTAGCTCACATACAAATCACTGGTTCTGCCCAGTTGACAAAACTTATGGACAGCTAATCCCCATACAAAATCCTATATTAACCAAAACCCCTTACAAATGATACGACTTAGACTTTGTATGGGGCGACAAAGGAACCCATGATTTCTCCACTCTACCTTAGTACTGAGCCATATATCGTCGACCAACAGTTTAGAATGGAGAAGACAATCGTATATCCAAGAGATAGCAGCATACAAATTGGCACTAACTAGGATGCAACTGAACGTGCCTCGCAAATCATCAGATAATACATGGTAGTCACCACTCGAAATTTCAATCGCTTACTACTTGCTCAGTTTTGTGCGATGGTCGATGTATTTATTACAGGTTACTAAACACACCTTCTAGTACACGATAATGCCATCAGATCTTTGTCTAACGTCGCGAGTATCGCCGTGAGGCTGGTTCCTTTGTCGCCCCATACAAAGTCTAAGTCGTATCATTTGTAAGGGGTTTTGGTTAATATAGGATTTTGTATGGGGATTAGCTGTCCATAAGTTTTGTCAACTGGGCAGAACCAGTGATTTGTATGTGAGCTACCTGAAGAAGCGCAAAAGCGCGCGTGTTAGCAACGTGCAGATCTTTATCAGCGTGTTTTGCAACTCTAGTCCAAACCGCACCTTAAAACGATAAAAATTGACGAAGTTACAGCCACTTTTGGTGGTGTCCATATCTTTTTGTCGTGGAGTGTAGCTTTGGGAGCACAATCGGTATGGATTTGAGATCGATGGTTTGTTGGATTGACCACACGTTCTTCTGTAAGCTGAACTTCCAATCTGAAGAAGCGCTAACGGGTAGAAAGTCGCTGAGGTTGTAGAGCAATGGAACTAATGGGCGCAACCACATGAACAACTTAGTGGGTGTTGGGCTTTGCTTCTACACCATTAAAGCGCAGCTCGATCCGGGAACAAATACATACGTATAACACGTCAACACTGTGTCAGTAGGGCAACGCTTTCCCCCGATGCAGCCGTCACCGCACGAGGTAAAAGCACAGCTACCAGCCGTAGCAACCATGCATTTATGATGCCCGCCCGAGTCCTGGTTCGGCTCTTCCTTAATCGTTGCAGAAGCTTCAACCAGCAGCGTGGGGACACTCCATCGCAGTTCCCGATGCCTCGACTTTGAGTCGGTACAGCTACTGTACTGTATTGATCGTTCGGTTGCAGAGCGAACACTGCGTTGAGTGCTCGCTGTGTAACCGAATGAACGATTATGTTCACCACTCCGCGACCGGCTTTGTATCGGGGTTGACTACGCCAAGATTCAGATTCGATCGCAAAAGTCCGTGCTCAGCAATCCGAATTCTCTCTCAAACGGTAAAGTGTAGGCATGGCCTGGGCTCCGGGTTCAACCCAGCGGGTTTATTCATTGAAACAAAGCCGAACTATTCCAAACAGGTTCCTCACCGACATGCTTCAGTATGAGTTCTTGCTTTGCGAGGATTTTTACTCCACCTGCGTTCTACGGAATGAATCTCCACGCAGCAAAACCAGTACGAGCCGCTCCCGAGATCGAGAGAGCCTTTCGAATGAGGCCAGCATTTCGGCTGCTTCTTTCGTGGGCGTCATGCAATAATGATGTACTGCATCATATGTCCGACGGAAGTTGAAGTGGGTTTGTCAACGATTTGCTCACGTTAGTGAGTAATTTCGCAATGCCAAGATTCCAGCACCACAGGCAGTTCTTGTAAGTTACCGGTATAGCACACCGACCGTATTAACAAATCAGTGGGTGGCTGTACGAACGTTGGGCAGCACTATAGACCCGGTTGTCATGGCTTGATCTGTGGAGCATGTAGTTGCAATGCTGTCCAACGCCACTACGATTGTTGAATCAAGTTCGCATTCCCAGCGCCCACCTGGACCGTGTTTTTTTTAATGTTCGCTTATGGAGTAGAAGCTGTTTCTGTTGAATTTCGTTATGTAGTAGAAATGCTTTTATTGGTGTCAACACGATCTACTGCTCTGTTAATAATGGGAACACCCGAAGAATGAGGGGTGGACAGCTCCCAACGGATTAATTGGACGCGTAAGCGTAACCTGGCGTAACCTTCGTGCTACACCAGCCAGAAGGATGTCGACCGAGCAGGTTCAACGGCAACTTTCAGCTAGGCAGACTGAGGCAGGAAATGCACGTCGACAGACCCATGCACCAGCTTCAGAAAGTGAACTGCGGCACGCGCGATATTCATGGGTGTGGCCCCGCAGGGGCCACGCCCTTGAATCACGCGGGCCACAGTTCTCCCTTATCATGGCAATTAGCACCGATACCATCACCAGCGTTTTATACCAGTGGTGTTCCCAGCCAAGTCGAAGACGACCTAGTTAAATCTGCTACAGTAATGTGCGTCAATAAGGGACCTCTGATATGAATAGGAGTGTAAAGGCTAATAGCCTTTATATTAAGGCGAACAAGTGGAAAAAGAAAGAACAATGTATTGATTTAGTTAAGAAGAAATGACACACTGCTTTTACTAATGAGCGTGGAGTGCAACCAGCACTTCGATGATGAATGGTTCGATTACCGATTTAATGTCCTTCTCGATTTGGACAGATACTATGTACTGGTACTAGTCGTACTAGATAATGAAAATAAAACTAATCCACCACTGTGCGAAACACCACGCCGGTGCGGTATGTGAGACGAAGTTGTACATGTCGTGTGCGAAAGTTCGTTGCGTTCCTTTGGACGAACGCGCCTAAGTGCTTAGACTACCGTAATTGTCGCAGAACACGCTCGTATTCTTTACGAATGTCGGGGCTGGAAATCCGGAGTAGTCTGCGGTAGTGGCAGCAAAATGCTGAATGAATCCTTGAAATTGCCGTGGGCATGGGGTCCGGTTCTCCGTCTTCGAAGCAGATGTAGTTCCGTTTTGTCCACTGGTGGTGAAGTGTAGCGCAACGAAGCACATTCCACAGGCGCAGAATCGCGTCTTGATGACTACACCAGCGTTTGTTAACTCGTAACTTGTGTGGGAGAATTAGTGACGTCCACGATAGGTTGCTTGTGAAGAAGATACTCCAATCTTCCCACATGAGTTGCCACGTCCTTGTTGAATGGGGGCATTCCCAGAAGAGGTGCTTCGTAGTTTCAATCGATGTGCAGTTTGGGTAGGGGCATTGCTGTACGTCAGGAATCTGCTGCTTTAGGAACCAGAATCGCGATCGCACTGGAAGAAGACGAAGAGCAATCCGCATTTGAAGATCGTCATACACTGGTAGTAGCAGGTGGCGATGGTCTTTGCTGAATTGGGCGAATCGATTTACGTCTGCATGCGTTGTCCCGTTAAGATCGCGGCAGATGGGATGTATGTCGGGATCCAACGACGGGGGATGAAGAAGTTGTTTTAGTGGCGCCCGAGGGATAAACGGAAGCAATCTTGTTTTAGCAGCTTGCCGGACGCCCACATTCGGGACAAAGCGCAGGTCGATAGTAATGCTGTTTGTGTCAACCAACAGGTCTTTGATGCGCTCGAATATTTGGGTGAGTTCATTGTACAGGCCTTTTAGCCATCGCTTCTGTCGTTCCTGGGAGAACAAGGGATCTTGCGGGTCCAGTGTTTTCTCTATAAATCGTTCTCGGGTTGGCCAGTACCCGAATTCGAGGTAGATATCTCGTAGACTCCCATAGGACTTCCGATGTGCCAGTTGGAGTCGGTAACTTCGCCTTGGTTCTGCAACAGCTATAACATTTCGCTTCCTAGCGGTTCGCGTTTCGTACTGTAGCAGTGGGTTTTTGGAGAGCCAAAAAGGGGCAGCCCATAATGCTCTCATCGCGCTGGGGTGTTTTCCGTGAGTTAGCCACTGTGTTTTGTGCCACATTAGCCATGTGGATCTCCACCACTCACATAAGGCTTCCATTCGGATCAAGCATTTGAAACGGGTCGGCGAGATGTCAAGAAAACATAGAGGGTCTCGTATGGGGATCAGCGGAACCAAGCCGCGGACCGTGGATGACATTAGGGCTGGCCATGGCCGCTCAGGGCTCGCTAACACCTCTTGCGCAAATTGCTACAGGAGCAAGATACGCTGGGCGCGTAGCTGCGTTTCTAGGTGTGGGATCTGAAGATCTCCAGTACGTCTTGACTGATACAGTAAGGCGGAGGGTACAAGCTGTACAAAACTTGATTCAGCTTCATGTTTTCGCGAAAGCACGAATTTGTTTATCATTCGTTGCCAGCGTTGAGTGTAGTCTTTCGGAACAGAGGTGTGCGGTGTAAAATGCCAGAGGGTCGACAAGATGACGGTATGCACGAGAAGGAGCCGCCCGCGAATAGTTCTTGCTCTTCTTGCCCAAACGCCAAAACTGCGAAAAACTTTAGAGTTGAGTTCAGCGAGGATATGATCTTTCGTCACTTGCTGTCCGAACGGGATATCCAAGTATTTAACTGTATCGGATGGCTTCATACACCGTACTTCTGAGGCGAATGGGCAAATTGCTTTTCGGTTGAGGGGCATCAACGCTGATTTTCGTAGATTCACCTTTGCTCCAGAACCTTGACAGTTGACCTCGACAAGTTCTGTAATGGGCCTACTTTGGCTCACTACTTTAGCTTACACGTGTGCGCGTGTATGTGAGGAAGCGTAGCCTAGTTTAAATTAGAGTTAATTATACTCGGGCCTCCGAGTATAGATTAATCTAAATAAACGATCCAAATAATGTTTTTGGGTTAAAATGAGAACTGCTATTTTTGTTTTATGTTTCTGACTTCCTCTAAATGTAATATTCTAAGATAGGAATCTGCCAACGGCTGGTTCGCAGAATTCCATTGCTATGCATGTCGCTCATTGGCTAAGAGATGCTGCTCTCAGCCAATAGGAATCCTAAGTCTCTATGGACCACCCGTCGTGGTGATCGTAAATGTATGTAGCCTTTGGTGTGTCTACACCAAAGTCGAGAAAGTCTTTCGAACCTCTAACAGACGTCATGTCTGTTAGAGTTACAAGTGACTGTAGCCACTTGTGCGTGTAACCCTGTTACACCATCCCCCCCTCAAGGTTAGACGCACCGAGTCACGGCACGTCAATCAGGAAATTGACCATTCGTCAATTCTTCACGTTGGGAGAAAGATAACTCGAGCTCATTCCGCAATGAGCTCGCCGCAGAAGAAGACCGCCGCCGCAACAGAGGGTAACCTCTCTGTTGCTCAGTACCATGGGCGCCAGCAGGCAAAGCGCGACGCCCTCGCTGCAAAGGCCGCGTCGGGGACAACCCAGTCGGAGATTGCCCTCGAAGGTTCCTCTGTAGTCAACGACGCCGTTGACTACGGGAGTGACGACGTAGAGATGGAAGAGGGCGAGGCATCTTCCAACAAGCGCAAGGAGTCTATCGACAGTGATAGTCTCGACCCGCATGCCGGGTCGAGACGCCCTCGTGAAGGAGACGACTCGGACGCTTCAAGCTCGAAGCGTTCGCGCGGCGAGAGCGAAACTCCGCTCTCCGCTGCTGGGGCTTTAAGCTCCCCGCGTGAGGTGGCGTCTTCAAGTTCCCCGCGCGCTGCTCAGGTAGCGCGCGATCCGTGGATGCCGTCTGCGTCAGAGATCGCAGACCGTGTGGGCAACACCGCGCCTCCAAATGAAATTCCGCTGTACGTATGCAGCGGGATCCACAATGATGTTGTGGCGGAGGAGCAGCACTTTGATCCATTAACGAATCAAAGGCGCGATTACTATATCGGACTCTTTCACGAGCTCCGATACTTCTCCAGCACGAAGACCTCTTCTCGCAGCAAAGTGCCTGAGTGACAGGCACTTTGTCAAAGTTGGAATGCTTTTGTTAAGAACTTCAACAAGAAGCCGGCTGCTTACCGTGAGCGGGTTAAGCACGCCCGTGAGCGCTTCGAGACATTCTCGACGCGCGGGAGGCTGGAGCAGCTCCACAGATCCTCTGTGGACGCTGGTATTCCATGCGCTGTGCCCGAAGGCCATCAGTGCACGTTGTGTCTTCCGGGTGCGGTGCGCTTGAGCGACCGCGACCTAAACGGGTACACGACGATTCGTGTACCTGAGAGTCTCAAGGATCTCCGTGCCAAGTTCTTGGCACGCGAGGAACGCGACGATCGTGGGACCTCGGGCGCTGTAGGTGACCACAGCGCTCGCACTACCTTCGCGTCGGCAGTGCGTGGTGAGTTTCGTACGCCCTCACCATTTCCGGAACGGCCTGCAGCAGGACGTCCCGTGGCTCCCATGTATCTTGGTGGGGCGGAAACCCTCTCCAACGAATACGATAACGAACCGGCTGCCGGTTCGTTTTTGGGATACTATGGTTCACAATACGCTCAACAATCCAGCGTGTTGAGCCGCGGGCGTCGCGGATCGGAGGCGGCGGTGGTGGGAACACGCCCTGGGTATGGTCAACCTGGGGTTGACCTTGGCCCGACGCTCGAGGAGCGGGTCGCTGCTGTGGAACAGCATCAGAGCCGGGAGTTCGCCGCTCTGAAGCAGGAGGTGGAGATCCTGAGGGCTCAAGTCGCTCAGGCCTCGCCGACCACGTCGGACATCTCTGTCGACGTGGGAGGTCGCGTCGCACGCTTGGCCCAGCGCGTTCACGCGCTGGAGCAGAGGTTTGCTCCCGCTGGGGCTTCCGCTTCGGGCCAGCCGAGCTACGTGGCTCGTGCTGCTGGTATGGCTTCAGCCGCCCGATGTAAAAGGTCGGATGGAGGCGCATGCTAGATGGAATATCTAGCGTGTAGGCGTTGCCATGCCGTGCCAACACCGTGAACGGCCCGATGAAGCGCGGAGCGAGCTTGCTCGCCCCGAAGTCGGAAACTGCATGTTTAGGCAGGTTTTGAGTTGCTAACAAAACCAATGAACCCTTCTTGAATTCATTAGTGTTGCCCCTACCAACATTGTCTACGTTCAGCTTCTGTCGGTCGACAGAAGCTGCGATAGCGTCTTGGACAAACCGAATGACGGCTTGTCTGCGCTGCACGAAGTTGATTGCGTCCGAGCTGAACTCGTTCAGCTCGTTTCTAGCAGTAGGCCCGGCCTCTGCGTTCGTCTTCGCGGTGTCTGTGCCCTGCACAGACCCGTTCTTCTTCTTGTTGTTGCGCGTAGTCGCGGCTGACACTGTGCAAGTGTCAGCGGCATTCTGCGGCTGCTGTGTTGCAGTCGTAGATCCTCCCCCCACTTAAGGAAGGAGCCACCATCCCGAGTAGACTCGGGAGGCGTGGGTGCCTGATGGCATTCACGTAGAACGGTGTATGCCCGGTCGAGGCATGCACCGAGTTGTTGATGGCGAACTCCGCCATCGGTAGGCACTCGCTCCAGTGTTGGAACGAGTGAGCGTAGCTCTTAAGCACGTCTACGAGCACGCGATTCACGCGCTCGGTCTGCCCGTCCGTCTGCGGATGGTCCGCAGCCGACATCGAAAGTTGACTCCCAAGAAGTGTAAAAACTTCTTGCCAAAGGTGTGCAGTGAAGCGCGGGTCCCGATCCGACACAATGTCGATCGGCATGCCATGGTGTTTGAACACCATGTCAACGAACAGACGCGCCGTCTGCTTCGCAGTCACTTCAGCGGGTACCGCAGCAAGATGTACCATCTTGCTGAAGCGGTCAACAAAGACCACAACGCCCGTGTTCCCCTGGCTGTCCGGGGGAAGACCGAACACGAAGTCCAAAGACATGGACTGCCAACACTCTCGTGGAGTTGGTAGTGACTGCAAGGGAGCCTGCGCGAAAGGCGCAGGCTTCACACGTTGACAAACCTCGCAAGCAGGGACGTACTTGCGCACCCATTTATATTGGTGGGCCCAGTAGAAGTCTCGCGTGAGAAGAAGGTATGTCTTCTCA